TGTTCTGATTGTGGTATGATAACCTGAAATATTTTACATAATAAGAATCATGAGTCAAGCAACTTCAAATAGAAGTTCCAAGCTAACCAAAATCAATAATTTGGTAATCTTTGCAGTAATGGTGACCAATCCAAACCAGAGATTATAGGTTTCCCATTTTCTCTGATAACAACCATGGGTACAAACAAAATCACCAAGCTGTGGAATAGTCTCAGATATTTTGTATAATTGCAATCATTCTCTATCTCTTTCATAAATTTAATATTAAATATCTTAGATCCAACAAACATTTTGTGTAATTGATACACAGTTTTTTCCTGCATGACGAAAATAATGCCTAACATTTTTGCCTTGATCCAATTCAACCCTTTTATGCCAAAGATCTAATTTAGTAATTTTCCTTACAGTCTTCTAGGTAATTCTTATTTTTGGAGAATTTGGTATTAGAACAACTAATAATCCCCTTCTCTATGTTTTTCTTTATTCTCATCACTTTTCTGGTTGATATTGTATTGATATTGTAGGGAGAATCCCTGTCTTGGTCACTCATTGGAGGTAAAAGGTTAACTTACCCCATTCGTCCATATGCCTTTCCATAGTTTGGGTCCAAACTTAGAGCTTTCTGACAGTCTTCTATTGCTTTTTGGTGTTCACCGATCTTGCCATAAGCTGCAGCTCTGTAAGGAAAAAAGTTGCCATAATTAACTTTGAACTGGAAAATGTTTCTGATATAAAAACAAATTTTAGGTTTGAATGATTTCAAACTAAATTGATTGGTATCTATTGTTATTTTACGATGAGACTTATCTGTCTGAAGCAGAGAAAATATATGTAGTTGAATGTAACCTAAACCAGAAATTGTTGTAAGGGTCTTTTGCAATTGCCTAAGCATGGAATTGAGTGTACGAGATCATTTTAAAAGCTTGACTTTACATGAAATTCACCCTCGCCTTCAAGGATTACCCGTCAACTTGTTGTTAACTCCATTAAATTGCACTTAACAGCATCATAGTAATTGGAATGTATACCTGTTACATGGAAACACAGCATTAGAACTATCCAATTCAATAGCTTTGGTGTAACAGCGGATAGCTTCTTGGTACTTTTCTTCTTTCATCAACTGATTTCCTGGTATTAAGATTTTAACAAATTATATCATTATTTTGACAGATGAGAGTGTTACAGGTTTTGTTTTATTTATAAGATTTATTGGTTGAAAGAGCCATTTACTTAAAAAGTCATTTAACAACTTATTTGGCCACTCTTTGAATTCCTGCGAGCTTGCAAAATTTGGGAAGAGAATGGTATAAATAGAAATTGAGAATGGAATGGAAAAAGAAAAGTTTTAAATAGGAGTAAAAAAAAATAGAACTCCTACAGATTATACCTTCTGTTTTCAGTTGTTCTGCTTTTTCTCTGTCTTCTCTTGTAGGCTGAGCAGCTGTTGTTCCACCCTTGGTCTGAAATTAAATGCTTTTTTTTTAACTGAGATGCGTCCAGAAACGATTGCAGTAATGAAAATGGTGAAAATTTGCCAAATTGTCAAATCTGCCCAGCTGATTTTGCTTTTACCAATTTGAATATAACTAAACTACATAATCAAGCTGATTTTGCTTTGAAAAATTTGACTAAAATTTGCTAAAATCATCAAATCCATGAACATTCATTTGGTTTGACAAAATGCTGTCAAATCTGCCATTTTCATTACTGCATGCATTTCTAGACATAGAGGTTATTTTTCCCTGTTTACAATGTAATACTGTAGCATATTTTGCATATCCTCATGACCTTATTTGGTAAAATGACAGTAGTAAAATACTGAAAACAAATCTTACATAGCCATCAGAATAAATATTATTAGGCTCATTCCTAGGTTTCTGCATAATATAAAGACATATAGGATATTCTTTAGATAGCTTTTTTTCTTCACTAGTGCTGAGGCATAAGGAAACCAAACCATGTAGGTCCATAAAAATACGAATTGTTTTTGATTATTTATCAGGAGATCCACTGAAGCAATTGAGTACAGACCTGAGTCGCATTTTTGAATATTTCCGCTAGAGGTTTGTCACTCTTCAATGCTGCTGTTTGTGATGGATCATTTCTGTTTATACCATAGACTGCTTCTAAACACTGGATTGAAACTACAAGAAAAAAAACATTCAAACACACAAACTGTGATAAAATTTACAAGAAAAGCTACACCACACATGCATTTTGATTGGTTCTTAACCCTTTCCACCCTCACATCCTCATGTATATTCTCCATACTGTTCCCTAGACAATCCCTAAGGTGCTGACAAGGAGAATTTGTTTCATAATCCAGAGCATCTCTAGTTGGGGACCATTTCCTTCATTCTAATGATGTTAAGGTGTGATTTTGGGTTGATATTGTAAGGAGAAATTAGATGCTAGTCACTCTTAAGGGTTGAAGGGTTAATTATGATCTATTGGAGGACAAGTGCATAGATGATATCCCCATAGACAACTTTCTGTTTCTTTATTACATTCAACAAATAGATTCCATCTTGCTGAGGGTCTCTACAGCTTACCGTAATAGAATACAAAAGATGTCAAAATGTGAATTCTGAAATCAGAGAATGTTTTCAAATGCTGTGCATCTATACACTCATCCATTCTCCAGCATCCTCCAGTTAAGTCACCCACCACATCCCACCCCTCCCCCCTTCTCATCACCTGCCTGGAAGGAGGCATGATGGTAGATGTAAATATTGAGACGAGAAAAGATATCAAAAAGGAAACGTTAGATATTAAAATTAGCCAGAAAGGCAGTGATATTAGCAGGAAGCAATAAAATACATTTGATCATGTTTAGGCCGAAATTAACAGAAACTGGAATTGATTGTGAGAAAGTGAAATTAAATTTTAAATCACATGCAAACTTAAAATTATCTTTCGGATATCATTTCACTTACATGGTTCAAAAAGTGTAAAAAATAATCATATTTAAAAAATCATAGAAGGAAAAGGAAATTTTTTTCTTGAATCTCTGTAAGCTGTTACATTTTAGGTCTAACCTTCTAAACTCTCCGCTGAGTCGCCTGTTATGGCACCAGACTTCAACTCCGACGAAAGGTGCTCAATAATAGCGAATGCTAGCTTTTGTAAATTTGACATGTCTTCCGTTAAGTTGATCGAGTGATTAAAATCCTTAAAACGTAGTGAATTAGTCAGAAAGGTGTTTAGATTCTGCCTTGAAATTAACTCACGTTTACCACTTTGGTTCCTGTTTAAAATGGCGGAACTTATTCGAACCCGCAATGTATGTGTACTGCGGCCAAAGGTTCTCATTCCAGTCTTTCTCGAAGATTTAACCTGGTTTATTCACACGTGAAACCAGTTTCGTCAGATGGTTAAACTCTTCTCTGGGTTCAATTCTGTCGCTCTCCTTCGATCTGTGGTACTTACACGACGTTTACATTGTCGTAGTTTCCTATCATCTCAAATTAGTGAAATTATGAAGCTTTACACCGACCGAGGAAATCCATTTCTGCTCAGCATTTTGGCAGCAAAAAATCTAGCAGGCGTTCCCCTTACTGTTCAATACATCAATTATGAAGGTCAGATAATTTTTTCCTCTAAAAATAGGAAAGCGAAACCGGAACTGGTGTAGTTTTCTAGCTTTCACCCAATTCTGTTTTTTCTTAGCACTAGATATGTCTTCTGAAACGACTACAAGTTCAGATCTAAATATGTCATGGTCCATGACTGGGAATTACGCCTCTCTTTCCATCACCTTCATATATTTCCTCGTAGTAAATTCCTTTCTGATGCAATCAGAAGTTCGTTAGACTTTGGAATTGAAAGTGTGAAATTGGGATTTGGATAGAATGTTGTAAAACTGGATTGGCAACAAGATAAACGAGCTGTAGATTTTAAATAAAGAGAAGCTAATGTCCCCCTAAGTACTCTCTCCAACTATAGCAACAGGTATTTGTTGTTCAAATTTAAAACCTACATGTATTCAGTTTTATAAAATATATTCCTCACTCTCATAATTAATGCAGCAAAAGAAGTATAACAAATTAGCTGATAATAGTTTAATTGGTTATGGGTATAATAACAACACTGTGTTACCTTTCTTTATCAGATGGAAGCAAATTTAATTGTCCTGGAAATAGGAAGGTTTGTTCAAAATATTTTATTTCACATGAAATAGCTTTGTCAAGAGTGAACCCATTGCTCTTGAAACTTTTTCCACTTTCTCTATCATGAACTAATCAGGAATATTTGATATCTTAAGAAGGAAATATATATATATAAATCTCAATTATAGTCTCTCCTTGCCATATAGTGCTCAATGTGTTTGTAGAGCATGGTATATCTGAAGGTTAGACAAATCAATAAGACATAACTTTTTTCATTAAAGCCGACAAAGCAAGCAACCTTAACAAAAGAACGGAATTAATTTCCAAATGCCACCATGAGAACAAATACTCCCTAGTGAACATCGACATCAGATTAAAATAGACATACTAATTCACTAACTGCTATATATGTTTAAACTTAGTGAGGTGTACTCCTCATTAAAATCTGTCTGATGATCACATAAGTGTGAAACTCAGTCACAGAAAAGTTATATCGAATTGATTTGTCCAACCTTCAGATATATATATATTATATATAATATATATAAATCTATATATATAATTAGCAGCATTGCACTGATGAGGCCCAGAGGGCTGAATCAGTACTGTCTACAGTTATATATAGAACTATATATATATATATTCAATAACTTTAGAGAGAACCAAAAGCTTATTCTGTAAATTTTCTTATAGCTTCCAGTCCTTGAAGCTGAACATGGAATTTTATTATACAGTACAAACAGTATATGCAGGTATACAGGTTTGGACATATCATAAAAATATAGCATTTGTGTGTAATGATCAATATTTTATCATGACATCAATTTCTGTTTTTATTTTCTATCACTCTAAAACCTAAATACATCAACTGACAAATTAATTGATTATTAAAATGATTCATGAATTAGTTAATTAATTGATTGCATAGAGGATATAGGCAGACCTTGGGGAAATGGTAGAATATAAGTTGTGATCAAATTAAAGATAAATTCAAAGTGGCAACATTGTTTATGTGTTGAATGTTCACTGACTCCCTGAATCATGCAGAAACTTCTTGCAATTGAAAGCTCTTATCAGAGCTCATTGGCTCCCCAATCAAGCAAGAGACTACTTGTGATCAGGAGTTCTTATCAGAGCTCATTGACTCCCTGATTCTCAACAAACTACTTGTGATCAGGAGCTCTTATTAGAGCTCATTGACTACCTGATTGACGCACAAACTTCTTGCAATTGGGAGCTCTTATCAGAGCTTATTGACTCCCCAATCAACCAAGAAAATACTTGTGATCAGGAGCTCTTATCAGAGCTTGTTGACTATCTGATTGACACACAAACTTCTTGCGATTGGGAGCTCTTATCAGAGCTCATTGACTCCCCAATCAACCAAGAAACTACTTGTAATCAGGAGCTCTTATCAGAGCTCATTGACTACCTGATTGGCACTCAAACTTCTTGCAATCTAGAGCTTTTATCAGAGCTCATTAACTCCCTGACCTACACAGAAACTTACTGTGATTGGGAGCTCTTGTCAAAGCTCACTGACTCCGCAAATCAAGCAAGAAACTACATAAGATCAGGAGCTCTTATCAGAGCTCATTGAGTCCCCAATTAACCAACAAATTACTTGTGATCAAGAACTCTATCAGAACTCATTGGCTCCCCTATCAACCAACAAAGGCCATGTGATCTGGAGCTCTTATCAGAGCTCATGGACTCTCTGATGACACACAAACTTTCAGGTTTTCTTGGTGTTTCAAAAAGCACTTCACTGCTCGTAATGGCAAGTCACTGACCCCACAATCTGTGACTACAAAGCACTTACTTAGCAATGATCTCTGGGTATCAGGCCGCTATAATCTGATGTAAAACCTTTTGAATAGAGGGTGTGTTACGAGGTTGACATTCTGACTACATTCATATGAAACATTCAATGTGAAAAGTTTATTTAGGATGAGTTAGTCAGTTAATATTCTAGTGTACACATCCTGATACAATCTTAACAAAAAGAACCTGTGCTATGCCAGATACAAAAAACCACTCAAAAACACTCTTTAGATGTGACCAAACAACAACCCTTCAATTGATTCTGATGATGTCTAAGGTTGTAGAAACACCACTGTACCCTCCAAAGACTACTCTTTCCTGGACAGTCTAAAGATGCAATCACATATTTTGATTTTTGTGAGCTCTGGTATGTATCACAGTAACCTTTTCATGTATAGGTATCTGTTGGACCTCAAGAGAAACTCAGAAGAAACACCTGACCCCAGCAAAGAAGCAGTTGTTGATCAGTGGGTGGAGTGGGAGAGTATAACCTTGCAGGTTAGTTTATTTTGTTGGAATCAAAGAATCCTTGGCTTTTATGACAATTATTATAAATTCCTATCACCAGTATATTCTACACAGTAGATCTATAAGTTCACCATAACTGTTTTGTTTTAAGGTGACTAAAAGTCTTGTTTCTGATGACCATTTTATAATTTTAGGTTTCCAAATGGCAAATTTTAAAAAGAGTTGAGTTTAAGGGTCTGAACAGTGAAAGTTAAGAGTATAAAGGTTAAGGAAATTTCCAAATCAGCACAGGAGAATGAAGGATGGAGAAGATGAACATGAACTGCATATGATCAACTTAAAGAATTTCAGATATTTTTTTTTAATTGGGCACCAAGGTGCACATCTTTTGAAAAAGATATTTTAATTCATATGGATTGGGAGAAACCATGCATTACCTTCCATTAGGCTTTGCTAAGTGATGAAAGTGACAATTATGATAAATTTCAATAAGCAACTTTGATTCTTCCCCTTTGATTTTTAATGTTAATATTTTGTTGACTATAAATTTGTCATTGGCAATCTGTCATTGTTCTTGCAGCCTGTACTCTTCAAACATCTTGTATCATCTATTGGCCTGGGTAGGCAAACAAGCGGTCACTTTGATGATCTGATGAAATTACTGACACATGCTGATCAAGCCTTATCTGCTCACAAATTTTTCTCTGGGGTGGGTTCTTTTATAAATAATGTCACATTAAAAAAGTTTTGTATTGATATCCTAAGAAATTCTTACACCATGCAAAGCTACTTTACCAGCAAAGGCTACAAAAAAAATACCAATGTAGAAATTGGCAAAAGATGACCTGGTAATAACCCTTCTTTAATTTCTGGAAGCCCTTTGTCAAGAGAGGGGATACCCTAAAAGGTGTTTAAACTTGTTTTTACAGGTTATTCAGTGAGAATAAAAATATGGTTTAATGTAGGAAGAGTATTTTACATAGCAGCTGACACATCAATCTTTTTAGTATCTATGTTTTTGAATAGTAAATGGAAAAGGAGAACAGGGCTCAAAAGGTACCTGTAACACAATAGGCCATTTTTTATATGTTAAAATTCAAACTTGGCTCTGAGGCTTGTGGGAATAAAACAAAGGAAATCACATCAAGGTTGAGGGGTAAACAATTAATTTTTTTCATTTTATTCCCCCTAACCTCAGAGCCATGTTGGAATTTTAATATATTGAAAATGGCCTATTTTTGGGCCCCCATTTGACGCTTGAACATGAATTTTATGCAGCATTTTTATCAAATTGTGGAAATCCTGCAAAGCCACACTATTGAATAAACTGCACACTATTTGGTTTAGATAGAATTAAATAATGATAGTAGAGGCAATGGTATACGAGGATTGAAAAAGCTTGCAAAGGATCAACTTAGTTGACTTTGGATCAATTGTTCATTTACTTCTCAGGATCAACTTGGTTTAGCAGATGTCATTCTTTGGGGTTCACTTCATCCTTTGTTTATCTCTGATTCAAGCTTCTCTGGTAATAGTCATTTTTATTGTGTATTCTAGTAGTCTAGTTGCAATTTTACATTAAGTATCAAATATAGGTAAAAGTACTTGTTTTATTTATTTACTTGAAGCTGCAGATCCTCAGATGAACAACGTTAAAAGATGGTACGGCCACCTCATGTCTCAGGATGTTTTCCATAAAAGTTCTTCTGAGGTGACAGGAGGCAAAGGAGTATCTACTTTTAAGGTAACAAAAAGACAAAAGCTAGACATTTGTATAAGGGTAAATTTCAACAACAACATAATTTTCATGGGTCAAAATTCTCAGAGCAACATGGAAACGTTCCAGAATTTACCTTCTCCCCCTTAAACAGGTGAGACACAGCGTAGCCTGATGGTCTATGTGGCACACATAAGACCAAAGGTCCAGTTTCAGGAAATGGCCTTCAATCATTTTGATATATTTTTGGGCAGTACACTTTATTTACCTCCCTACCCAAGAGTATTGGGTACCATCCGATTGTTAGAAAACCTGACAAAATACGGTGGGTAACCCAAAATCTCACTAGTAACACTCCTCACTGTCTGCCATACAATTCTTACGATGTTAGTTTGAACATTTTGGAAAATCTGGAGATTTTTACTGCGTAAACCAATAATCCTCTAATTGATAATTTTCATTGTTCTCATAACTTGTAAGGAGAAATTCTGTCTTGGTCTCTGATGGGCTTTAAAGGGTGAAGTCTCCTATAGGTAGGTGGGGAGGGAATGGATTCGCTACGTTGATGTTGGTCATGATCACTTGGCTTCTACAAAAGACTTTTCCCTTCACAAACGGGGCCACTGCTAATTTGAGTTAGAGATTATCGTTCTTCTTGTTGTAGGATTCTTTGCTGGCCATGTCTGGAACACAGGTTCCACCAAGTTCAAAACCGCAGGAAGTAACGAAATCAAAACAGAGTATAAAAGGTATCAGCCTCAATACAGTGTAGGGTCATCATTCACCAAATATTAAACAAAACTTACAGCAGCAATACAGAACAAAAAACTGCTTACCTCAAATCCTGCCATTTTTTTCATCATGCATCATTCATTTTGATCTTTTTTCTTTTCTTTTTTAGCATACTATTTCATTTTGATATTTGGTCTCCTTAGCGTAGAATGTTGCAAAACGTGATTTCAAATATCGTGACTCAGCTACTTAAAATTAGGGTTGTCCCTTCGCGTGAGTTGGTTAATAGACTTCTTGTAGTTTACTTTGCCTTTATGTGTGTTAGGGTGATAAACTGAAGATATTGCAATTTTAGTGATTAACTTAATTCAATATTCTTTATGCTTCTCGTGTAAGGTAATTCTCAGTTTACTGAGAATGCTTTATAGTCCGTGCTAAATTTCTGTTTGATAAGACAATATCAATAGTTTTTTACTCAAACCTTGTTTATAAAGGTAAAAGTTGCCTGAAAGAAATCTAAAAGATCTCCAGGTGTTTGAGGTCTCACTTCAGCTTCCGAAAAGTCACAGAAAGATCCAGAATGGTGTTAATACAGAAATCTCAGTGTGTGCTTTTGTTTTTTTAGGATTACAGCCACCTCGTCAAGAAAAAGGGAATGGTGTTCCACAAGACGAGGTATGTTGCTGGTACTTAATTTAACGGGACTTTCAATTTGCAATTTTGGAGAATTTTCAAAAGGAAAAAAAAACCCAAGTATAAATTCCCACATAATTGGTTAAAGAAACCTCTGAGATTTTTTGTGTCTTGCTTTAACCTCAATGTTCTATGTATTGTTACTGAGCTATGCGGCATGAGACTCTAATCCTTCCCACCCCACCCTCTCTTCCACTGCTCTGTTTGATCTAACGAAACATGATATCATGGAACATAAACAGTCGTCTAAATTTGTTTCAGGCAGTTCAAGCCAGAGTTGCTTCAAGTGAGGAAATCGCTGAAGCTGTCAAAAACTGGAATCATGGAAGCAAAAATCGGCCGAAAAGTCGCCGGCTTGTGGACCCAATGTAAGAACAATTTTAATAAATGAGCATAACTTTCCTAGCCTTACCATGGAATGTCACGCGACGCTCCCCATCCTAAAAATCAATGTCACGCGACGCTCACCATCCTAAAGAGCAGTGTCACGCGACGCTTCCCATCCTAAAAAGCGATGTTAAGGAGACTTCATATCGCGTTGTCCACATTTTTTCCAACCTTCGCCAACTGACTTCCGACTGACTTTCTTTCACAGTCTACCCATTGAAGGAGAAAAGAATATCCTTATCACGAGCGCCTTGCCCTATGTGAATAATGTGCCTCATTTGGGGAACATCATTGGCTGTGTCCTTAGTGCTGACGTGTTTGCCAGGTACGTTAACTAGTAACGCGAGCCATGTTCTGGAGGAGGTTGTCGTTAAGAACTTTCTCAGCTCTCACCTTTGATGTGAATTGCAATCATTGAAATCCAGTGTCTTATGTTTACTCTGTTTGCAATGTTTCCTACCAATTTTACCCCTAAACAAAGCTTTATTATCCTCAAAGTTTATTTTGTGGCTGATTGCTTTTGAAATACAGTGTACGCGCATGTGATCGTCTTTTTTTTTTGTTAGAAATTAGAACTGAATTTTTGTTAGAAATAACCTTTTATTGGTATGAAACCTTTAAAGCGTGACTTCTTCCAGATGATGAAAACTATAAATGATTATACATAAAACTAATTTTGTCGACCAATTTTATTTCCTGACGAATCTCGAAACTGTCAAAGTCAAGACTTTGACACAGGTCGGTGAACTGGTTAGGAATGGTAATCACTCAGATGAGCAATTCTATGAATCACATTGAAAGGATCCGATTAGTAATTTCAAAACGGACGAAGTGAAAAGGAATATTATGTGGAGGGCTTTCGTATTTATGGGTTACATATTTTATGCAAGCATGTTAGTCCCTCAATAAAGATAAGCTTGACTGATGAAGAAATCTTTTTACCACAGTTTTTTGTCGTCTCTGCATTGCTTCCTAGGTATTGTCGCCTTCGTCAGTACAACACGCTGTACATCTGTGGAACGGATGAATATGGTACAGCCACTGAAACTAAGGTAAAAGGTCGCTCTAAGGGAGGACTAACGCTGGAAACGTCAGCTTTAGAAACTCTTTACGGTGGTTAATTTACACTATCGACTCAGTTTATAAACCGAATTATCTTATAGGCTGTTTAGATTTTCATAACAGCTCCTTTGTATTGAGTATCGTAAAACCAAAACAAATCAGAGCGGAGGTAAATATGAAAAGCCAATTGTGGATTAACGGAAAATCGAGCAAACTGCTTGAAGCGCAAGAAACACGAGCAAACAAATAGCACTTTGTAATTGTTTTACAGCTGTTCAGTGGTTGAGAGGATGACGCGATTTCTGTTCATTCTTAAAGAAAACCAAGCAAAACTATCGCATTCTCGGATTTCTTTGTACGGTCAAACGAATTTGAATCACGCTGAATCAGTTCTTATTACTGAAAAGGGAGGCGAGAAATTTAAATTCTGAAAATGCTTTCGGACGCTTTTAATAGTCACCTCCGACTTAATTGATTCGTAGTTGATTACGAAAACAAATGTGTCTAAAAAGGACAAGCCACTGTTTACTTTTCAACAGCAAACAGGTTGTACACCCGAATCATTTTAAAAAACCCTGAAAAACTTAAGAATGATTTTGTACCTCCTTTGTTGGCCATCTTATTTCTTTTGTCGTAAGACCACAATCTCTACAATAGGGCTGTGCTCTATCAAAGGCAACCAAACTTTTGTCCTTGTATAACTTTGCTTTATGAAAGCCTTTAAAATTTAGGCATCTGATGATTCCTCTAAAATCACACCTTTTTTTACTAAACGTCTTTCTAATGTCTTCTGTAGCACTGCGGGTGTCAATTTGACTTTCTTGTTGTTAATTCCAGGCGTTAGAAGAAGGTCTTACACCTCAGCAGATCTGTGACAAATACTTCAAGATTCACAAAGAAGTCTATGAGTGGTTTAAAATCAAGTTTGATTTCTTTGGAAGGACAACTACACAACAACAGACCGAGTAAGTTTTTAATGCAACATTTTAGCTGTTTGCATCTCAGGTTCTCAGAATTCCGAAACCTTTGTGAGTCTTTCCTTGCTCTCTATAATCCCTCAAGCTACGGAAGCGTTTCCCAATTTCTGTTTCATAAAGCGACTAAAAACGATCCCCTTTCTCACAGATGGGATGCTGGCTCATCGCTGGTCACCCCCTCCCCGAAATTCTTCGAGTTTCCCTGACATTTTCAAAATGTCTGATACTCATTAAAATCTAAGGTAGAGCGAGAGGCACCATTCGATTTGATCCTTTAATTCTCTGGTAAAAATGTAAATTCTTTCTGAAATTTGAACACTTTATCCAGTAAATATGTGATGGAGAATAGACAAACTCATCAGGTTAAAGTTGTTGTCTTGATTTGGCCTCAAACCCTTTTGCTTCTTGACAAGGAAACGTAAAGAAGTTAAAAGGAAAAATTACGAATATGATTTGCGGAGGGAAAGGTTAACCATTTAACTCCCAGAAGTGATAAACATGTAACTTTTCCCCATAATTTCTAAACATTTTCCAGCAAAACAAGTGATGAGGATATTCAAACCTATCGGGTAGAAGTTGTCATTTGTCGATTGAACACCAAACTCTTGTAACTAGTTTACAGGGAAATCTGTAGCTGCCAGAGGGGAGAATTAACAACTAGATCTCGGGAGCTAAAGGGTTGATTGTCTTGCGTAAAAACACATCACAGTCGCCCTGACTGAGGCTGAATACCGAACCTTTGATACCGGTGTCCAACTTGAAACTATTAGGGTTTTGCGTTTCTCCCATCATGCTAATGGTAATAAACTTGTTCTGTTGTCACCAGAATCGCTCAGGATATTTTCTGGCGTCTTCACAAGCAAGATCACTTAGTGGAGGATACACTAGAACAGCTGCAATGTGTTGACTGTAAAAGGTTTGCCTAGCTCTTACTTTTTTGACCGCCAAAAAGTTTTTGTGTAATTCTTCGGGTGGAGGTCGTCAGAGCGAGAGCAAACGACCTCCGATTATTTTTTCATATCAATTACAGATTTAGAGAACCTCTTAACTCCTTTTTGGTGATACCAATTGATGACAATTTGTTTCAACTTTCAAGTTTCTGCAATGCTACATTTTTTTTTTGCCAAAGTTGTCGTTAGTGATAATTCGTGTCTTATTTTGTTATTCCAGATTTCTGGCTGATCGTTTCGTTGAAGGTACCTGTCCTTTCTGTAACTTTGAGGTGAGCTTTATCTGAAGATTTTAAAAACATTTGTGTGTACGAGAGATGATTACTGTTATTTGAAGCTGACTGGCCAGACTGCTCCATTCTTAGAGAGAATTCTGTTATTAATTAGACCTGTCAGCCAAGTGGGTCAATCAATTCCCAAACTAAATCAACCACTCTTGGGGCATTTTCTGGAACAAAACTCAAAATTATAGAGATCTCTCCACACAATTCAAATTAGTTTCTAAATTAGACCGTCTGGCCGGCAGTTCCTGCTAATGTCAAGCACCCAGTTTTTCTCTCTTTTTGTACTTTTGACCTTAAAACCCCTCGGGGACTATTACTCGTTTTTTTATCCTTATTGTTGCCAAACAGTTCACAAGATCGTTAGGGCGACTTAGCATTATTCTGTCGGTTTTTACAGGATGCCAGAGGGGATCAGTGTGATTCTTGTGGAAAGCTTATAAACGCCATCGAACTTAAGGTAAGACAAACCAAACCCCAGTGCTAGATAAGAATTTAATTGTTTTGATTTGATGTTTAGGTTCCTACTGTAGATATGCTCGACAATTCTTACTCTTTGACTTTGGTTGGGACATCCATGAAGATTCCAATCACATTTTCGTGATAAATTGGAATTAGATCTCTCAAGTTTGTGTTTTCTTGTCATGCAAGATCCTGGATGTAACCCTGTGTTATAGCCTGTCTTGTAGTCAACAGCTATCAATGTTAGCAAACACACTTAAGTAGTGGCCGTCGTGTAAGTACGAAAGCATGAAGATTTTAAGTTATAGCAGAGTGCTAAAAAGTAGCCATATCAGTAGTTGGAGACAGGTGATATCAGTTGCGGAAATAGCTGTGCAGTTAAGAGCTTTGTCGTCGGGTAGTGTTTTCGTTGTTTGAGCTGTTTTTCAGCTGCGGTGGCGAAAGAAAACCTACTTAAAACGCCGGCCATTGTTTCGCTGGCAAATTTTCAAATTTTGTTGCGACATCTAAGGCTCGCATTTGATTGGCTATCTGTGAGTTTCTTTGATTATTGACCAATCAGAATGTCTGATTTGTTACTTTCTTTGCACTGAATTAACCCTCTTCTGCACTGAATTAACTCTCTTCTGCACTGAATTACCTGAAAACTGCATTTATCTTAAACAATCAGAACTGAGTAGTTTTTCAATGTATATTATTAGGTGTAAAATAAAACGGGGGACTTCTAACAATCTAAATGACATTACCTTTAAGAAACCTAGGTGTAAAGTTTGTGGAGGAACGCCAAAAGTGAGAAGTAGCAAGCATTTGTTCCTGAACTTGACTAAGGTATTGACAGAATGAATTATTTTTCATATACATGTCGGTCTTTATTTTGGGCTGTTGTACGAGTCTTCAAAAGTTTCTGGTAAATATCTCATTCAGTAATTCCTTTCCCTTTCAATTTTTAGCTTGAATCATCGTTAAAAAGTTGGGTGGACAAATCGTCTACGGAAGGTAAGATAGATTTGTCAGTCCTGAACACAAGCAAATATTCCACTTTGTTATCCAACTGCACAAAGTAGAGTGCAAATAACGCGCGAATAGAGTATTTGGACATTTGGTTATTTTGTACTGTTAAAAAAACCTGTTTAACTATTCGGCTGCGCGCGCTACGCTTCTCTATCCGCTTTGCTTTTCCCGCCTTATGAGAAATGAACTAAAAGACTTAGCAGAAAAAAAAAGCAGTTGGATCATGAATAACTTATTAGAGGTTTTGGTGAGTAGTATCGCTGAGTATTTTTATGAGCAGGCTCGTCAAAATACGGCACATCTCATAAAAATACTCAGCGATACTACTCACTAAAATGTCTAATAAGATATACGTCTCAAGATTTCTCTTCAAGCGCCTTCCCATTCACTTATGCAGGAATTTTCGAGAACTTTCACCGTATTAGTTTTCTTCAGTTCCGCATGTTTACACGATATTAATGGAAAGGGACGTCTTCAGGGATTTTTTTAACCGGAAATGTGTTTAGACCAAACAGTCGATATGTCTCCGTTTTCAAATGAGAGCGAATAATACCGAAATAGATACGGGTCATCATTCTTCTCAAGAAGTAAGAAATATTTAAAATCTCATGCAACCATCTCCACACTCGTCTTGTACTCTTTTGTGCTCTTTCTAGGTACATGGACGTCAAACGCACGCCATATTACCCGAGGATGGATCCAGGAGGGGCTCAGACCAAGGTGTATCACGCGTGACTTAAAATGGGGCACCCCGGTTCCTTTGGAGGGATACACAGATAAAGTCTTCTATGTGTGGTTTGATGCACCAATAGGGTAAGAAGATATTTCGTTTCGCACTCATATATTTGTTTTTAAAAGTCCAGATTGTCACTTTTGTGGAGAACTCCGTTTTTGTGATTTTGCGCATTTCTCTTTCTCCCCCCCCACCAAAAAAAAAAAACCCAAAAAACGAGATTTTCGGGTCCGCAAGAATAAGTAAGCATAATAAGTAAATATTTACACGAGAGACTTCGTCTGCACTTGAAAACGGAGCCACACTTTTATGTCTGCCTAGTCAAATCGTAAAATTTTTATCTCTCATTTGGGAAAAAAATATAAAAAAAGACCGTAAGGTTTGCTCACAACCTACGTAGAATGCCTAGAAATGAGGTGTTTGTTACTCATGTCATTGTCATATACCGCTATAATCTTTAAAACTGTTCAATTTTTTTTTCTCACTTGTAACAAAGGTTTTCTTCGACTTGTTGCACAGTTTTATACCTCTCTTGTTTCTGTTTCTCTTGTATCTCAGATATCTTTCAATCACAGCAAATTACACAAAAGAATGGGAAAAATGGTGGAAAAACCCTCAACAAGTGAGTTATAAGACGTCATTCGTCTCATATTCGAAGAAACACAACCGGCTGTGAATTTCGAAAGACACTGCTCTCCAAGGAAACTTTGCGTACAATTTGTTCCACAGTTTTGATACTCCAATTGTTTCAAGACACCTGTGATGAAACTAAGCTTGGTGCAACACACCGAGATACGTTCAAAGTAAGGGTCGCATGCAAGGCCAGTCTTTACGAATAAATATGCGACGGAACTTGTGAGAAAACTCTTCTTTGCCAGCCAAGTAATATGTTTTCTTGAAGTGAAACGTCCTTCTTTAGTGGGAATGTTCAACCAGCCCCACCCTGCTCCCCTTCCCTAAGAAAAACCCTGCGATGACGCAGTTTGTTAAGGTCACTTTATTTCCCGATATAACTGTTCTTGGAAACAGCACGGCTAGGAAGTTCGGTTCGTTTTAGCAATTCACTGAAATATCTAAGTACCTGGTAAGTTGTAGTATTAGTGGATACGAAGGGTTCTCAAACCGCATTATTCTATCTGTGTGCCTGACAGGTCACTCTCCATCAGTTCATGGCAAAGGATAATGTCCCTTTCCACACTGTTGTGTTCCCGTGCACTCTGATTGGTGCAGACGACAACTACAGCCTACTGAATTCCATTAGCGCAACAGGTGAGCACTCTTTAAGAAAAAATTCAAATTACCTATATTCAGCCGATTAGTCCAAAAAGAGAGTGCACAGGTTCAGCTTATAGTTTGACCTCACACGCTGTCTGAATCAAATCACAATTTGACATGTTACAATTTCTTGTGACTTGACGGAAGTTTATTCTCTCTCGGTGCAAGCTAATTTTAGTCATTAAGCGACTCGGCCTGAAGACCGACGTTAAGATAGTCAAACCTTTGATGCATGTTCCAAGGGACGTTGGTATATCAGGATGACAGTCGTGGTTAGAGACCACCTTGTTATTCCCTGGCCAGAAGTGCGGGCATTATTTTGTGCAGCAACGCTCACAAACATTTGACGACGCCACTTTGCCTAGTTTTTCTTATTTTAAATGAATTATTTTGTAGTAATGTCGATCTTCCTTTGTGATTCTCAGAATACCTTAATTACGAAGACGACAAATTCTCAAAGAGTCGTGGACTAGGGGTGTTTGGTAATGATGCAGCCGACACGGGTATCCCAGCAGACATCTGGAGATTCTACTTGCTGTATATGAGACCTGAGAACCAGGTAAGCGTACAGCACCTTGTTGCCAGCGTTCAACTCCCTTGAGTCCATCGATGCTTCATGTTATTAGGCACGAGCAACATCAAAAAGACTCAAAACTGAACACTTACCAGTCAGTAGTTTACTTTTTATCTTAATGTCATTGCTCCGAGATAGAACCTGCACTAAGATTTTCGTCAAAATCAACCTACTTTTTTTATCCTGTAGTAACGTAAATTTTGAGGTAAAAAGTGGGGTCCCGGCGTTCTTTAAGGAACAACAGTACTTTGTACATACCCATGCAATTCCCAGAATATTATGACGATTATATTTATGAGTACTTGCTAAATTCGTGTTTCCGAAAATTGTTCCTTTTCCTACACTGAGAATTGGTTTATGTTTATTTTATGGAAAGAAAGTGAGTGCTTAATTCCAAGAAAGAGAGAAAATGTTTCAGATAAAATGTCTCTCTGGTGTGCTCCTACCATAGAGAAAAAGGTGTCGATATTTAATGTACGCGCGCTTATTACCTGTGAAATTATGCACAATAAGGATGTGCAATGCAATACTGCTTAGTGACCTTACAAGATGACTGCGGTATATTGGAAACTGTGGTACTTAGAAACTCTCGATAAATGTGCTTGCTAATATATCAGTCTCTTAGTTCTCTTTCTGCCATTAACAGGATAGTGCTTTTAGCTGGACGGACTTTGTGTCACGGAATAATAGTGAACTACTCAACAACTTTGGTAACTTCATCAATCGGTACGTTGTTATTGTTTGGATTGAGCTTTAGAGCGTTTAGCGATTGACTGTCGTAGAACGAAACCTCAAGTTATCATGGAGGCCGTTAACAACAAAGATTAAAATTGAAAGGACTCACTGGGTTTTAAGTTGCATCCTAACATCAGTATGCATATTTATTTTACGGTTCTCTCTTCATTTCTTATGGTACTGCCACGGTTTTTTTAAACAACACTCTTGAGCTTTTTAGATAGCGAGAACCTGCTGCATTTTCTTGACCTTTTTAGATAGCGAGAACCTGCTGTATTTTCTTGACCTTATTTATATTATTTGATTTAGCGGTAATACTGTGACGGGAGTTGAAATTTTCTGTCACACTTCAGTGCATGCTTTTTAGCCAATCAGGAGCAAAGCCAAAAACCAATTGCGAGTTGGTCGCCCGCAATTTCCCGCGCTTTAGGCAGTTTGCTTTTGGTTACTTTGATAATGATATATTTATTTGTTCTGATTGGATGCCGTGATTACTTTGGTTTTAGTCTCATGACGCGCAATCGAAAAGCGGTCTAATGCAACATATTTCCTAACTAACTTTTTCATTTCTCTATGAATAACGATTACCTACTTTGTTTTCTTCAGAGCCCTCATGTTTGTACAGAACTTCTTTGGTGGTGCCATACCCATCATAGATTTGACTGATGAGGACAAGAATTTCATAGCTCTTATCAATAAAGAATTGAAGACATACATCGATGATCTGGAGAAAATGAGGTGATTCGGGGGCTACAACGGGAAAAAACAACAACAAAAAGAATGGCCTTAAACGATAACCAGTATACAAAATAGTATACGTATCCCACTGTATTTTGTGGCGAGCGGTTGTTCAATATTCTGATCAAGTTTTGAAGTCGACATATTGGATTGGTGTCTTCAAGGAAAGCTGGCGCGAATAAAAAATCTTACTAGGGACGTGGTGGTGAGAGTGACAGACCCCTCATACCCCTCCCCTCCCAAAAGTTTGTGCGCCTCAGGCCTCTGAAGGAGAATGGGGCGTAGTTGATACCACGAACCTTTTTTTACGTTATTTCTGTTCAGTTCATTGTATTGTTGATTTATGTTTCGCAAACTTAGCCTAAATTCTTAAAAATTTTCTTGGCAGGCTCCGAGAAGGATTAAGAGGCGTGCTGAACATATCCAAACTTGGTAATCAGTATTTTCAATCCAACCAGCCATGGGTTCTCGTCAAGGGTAGCGAATCAGACAGGTAAACGTGCAAACTTCGAATAAATGAATTGAGTTCACTTGTAAAGCTACTTAACTAATAGCCTTATAGGAGTTTCTGTGGCTCAGTTGTGATGAAATTTTATTGTGACGTAACTGTGTCTTCTACACCAAGTAAGAGCCGAAGGTCTAATGTTTGATTCCTCATGGGGACTCTGAAATTTTTCTTTGTACCATGTTCGTGACAAGACGGGAAAACGTCTCTTTTTAGTAGATGCGCTTATTGCAAAATTACGCCGATAGTTAGTATCTCATTTGTTTTTGTCAATCCGCGGGTTTCTTATTCCCCGGATCTTCTCGTCCCGCGGGTCTCCTCATCCTACGGGTCTTCTCATCCCGCGGGTCTTCTTATTCAGCGGGTCTTCTCACCCCACGGGTCTTCTCATCCTACGGGTCTTCTCATCCCACGAATCTTCTCATTCAACGGGTCTTCTTATCCCGCGGATCTTCTCATCCAACGAGTCTTCACATCGAAGGGGTCTTCTCATCCTACGGGTATTCTCATCCAAAGGATCTTCTCATCCTACGGGTCTCTCATCCCACAGATCTTCTCATCCACGGATCTTCTCATTCTACGGGTCTTCTTATCCCACGGATCTTCACTTCCAACGGGTCTTCTCATCCTATGGGTATTCTTATATAAGGGGTCTTCTCATCCTACGGGTCTTCTCAACTTGCGGGTCTTATTTAATAATGCAAGAAACCTTGTGATATTTCAGCGAGCTATAATTACATGGTGACGCGTGTCTTTCCAACGGTCTTGCCACCGCTGAAAAGGCTAAAAGGAACTTCCTCAGTTTCTTCTAGGAACACTTCGCGCTACCCTCACCTTATCGAATGCAAATTTTAAACGTACCGTGACTCTGCCACTTACCTTTTCTCCGCGCTTCAGGCGGTTTGCGTACCTTAACCTTTAGTTCGTTATGATAATATCATTTGCACTTTTCGGCAGTTGTGATAACTTCGGTTGAAATTTTGTGATTTTCACTGGAATAACATTCCTCAGAAGCAGTTGGTCATTGTGTTTATATTTATCCCCAGGTCACGTGCCGGCACAGTTATTAGCCTCGCGGCAAATCTCTCCTGGCAGCTCTCTGTTCTTATCCATCCCTATATGCCAAGTGTAAGTGAAGAGATTCAACGCCAGCTACAGGTAGGTCCGTTTAGCGTGCAAAGATATTTCAAAATATTTTAGAAACTCTTTTATCACCAGTGGCGATTGACATCTAGATCTTTGTTGCTGCACACCAAATCGTAAAAAATAAGAGGTTAGGGCGGTAAGAACTGAGAGTTTTAACTGGGAATACTGTTCTAATAGACACCTAACTCTCAATTGATTACGTCAGCGTGTGTTAAGGGAAGCTATTGTTGGCAGTCAATTCTTAGGCCTGCAAGGCTTCTGTAAGTTATATTTTGTTTGAGAATTAAAGATTAAAACTCACCGACGCTAATCTTGGTGTTGTAGGTCTCCGACGATGGAAATGTTGTCTTGGATAACTTCATTCCTTATTTACAGCCTGGTCACAAAATTGGAAAGGTATGGACAAAATGTCATCATGTGTGGAATTGAATGACAAACAAAGCAAACATGCAATCTTCAGCCACTTTTTTAAGTTGTTTGAACACAGTGGTGGACTCTTTTCAGGTCTAAGCAAATGACAGCAAAGTAGAGGACAAATTAGCATGAAAAAGTGATCCATGAAGACCAGTAGTGTCACAGTCGAAAGGTCGATATAAACTTAATTGATGCCCTTACTCTGTATCGGGAGACAGGAACGTTCATTTATCTACAAAATCATGTTTTAAAAAGTAAACGTTTTCTATAGAAAAAATATTGGAAACTAAAGGTCACTTTAGTTGCTGTGGAAATGGAAGAGGTCTCTGAAAGATGCATGTACTCACAGCATCTGTTGTGGAGAAAAATACACTCAACCTCGTTCACGTAGATAAGGAGAAAATCCTGATCTTCGGGCAAAGTTCATAACAAAGTTTCGTCGGTTCTTTTGCAAATTTTTCATGGAAACCGCCTAGATTGACTTATTTTTGACATTAATTTGGTGTATTGAATGATACTAAGTTTGTTTTGTTTAATTTATGATTAAGCCTAAACCGCTGTTCCAAAAGATTGATGCGTCCGTTGCTGATCAATTTCGCGCAAAGTATGGCGGAAACAAACAAAAAAAACAAACGGCAGGCGAGGAAGCAGCTAACACTTCTGACGGGAATGCCGCTGACATGGACGTGGCAACATTGCAAGCAGAGATTACCAAGCAGGTAAGAAGCACAATGTGTCAGCCAACATGAAACAGCAGAGTGGAAAATTGTGTCTTGTTTTGATATCCATCGTCAATGATGCGCGACTAGTACGTGTTATTACCAATAACAGAGCTAGACAAGAAGGAGGGTTATCTCTCGAGTTTCACAAACACAACACTACGTGAAATATGCCTCATTCGGACGATAACACCACACAATCGACCATGTCACCACGTCAGATAAATTACTGCTCTGTTAGATTCCTACCCCTAATGAAAATATGAAAGAAAATAATGAATTTAAATTCTAGAATAGCTGAGGTATTAGAACAAGCTCTTTAGTCAATAAAATAGAAATTAAGAGTTCATTCATGTTATTATTATTTGTTTTTTTAAGTGATTGTCTTTGTAAGAACACCATTCAGTTAGTAACTCAGAAAATTACAAGTCAAACAATGAACATTATTGGAGAAGTGGAAGGCAAATCCATATTTGCAGGCGTTGATATGATTGTGGATAAGTAAAGGGCGTCAACCACACAATGTTCACAATTGTTTTAAACTTTGAACAGCATTTCTGCGTCTTCAGGTTAAGCGAAACAATGTGAAATACCCAAATAAAAATTCAATTTATGGGCCCTGAGATAAAAACGCTTGATTCATCATTACGTGGCTTTACAATCCTCATACGACATTTCGGATTCAGGTACATCCTACGCTGACAAGAACTACGCTCCAATTTGGATTCTGTTTCATGACACTAACAAAACTGAATATATGTTTTAGGGCGACAAGGTTCGTAAACTGAAAACGGAAAAAGCTGAGAAAGAAAAAGTAGACGCTGAAGTGGCTATTCTTTTGGCGCTTAAGAAAAAACTGGCCGTCGCCGAGGGAAAAGATCCAAACGAACAAGAAAACAATTCAAAAGGGAAAAAGAAAGGAAAAAAGAAGTAAATTATTGATACTGTTTGTGTATTGAATACATGGCTTACAGTTTTAAATCTTTCGACGTAGACCACATTTTTATTCAGGTGTAATGATTAAAAAAAATAAATGAATCGAATTGTACTGACCCAGCCATCGGGAGAGGAGCTTGGAGTAATAGACTACAAAACATTCTTCAAAACCCGAGGTTGCGTCTGCGTCTGCGTCGTCCAAATTTTTCAAAATGGCGAAAGCAAATAAAAGTCTCCGTCTTCTATACTCTGTAGTTTTTGTAACTTTGCATATACTCCTTGAAACGAGAGTAACTGGTTCGCAAAACAATCTTGATGGAATAGTTAAGAAGTATTTAAAACCAAGAAACTTTTCATGACATAAAATTTTCACTGTAATACAAAAGTGTCATAATTTATTTTCATCATTATGTCCTTTCGTATGCGTGAATAAATGAAATTAACTGAAAGAATTACATCCTGGAGCGTAAAGTGCTATCCGTGGCTGTAACAGTTTAGAAGTCCAGTGCTATTCTTTGGATACATGATATCTCTATCAAGTGCTGGAGTAACATTGTAGGCTGAATTATTTATGCTTGTCTGCGAACGTGACTTACAGGCTTACTCTAAGGTATTCCTTGTTGGAAAAATTTCAATTTCACTTTTGTGGTTGTTGTCATTGTTGGTTTTTTTTTTAATTTTATTACTTGTCTTTTGTTTTTTGACTATGTTTTACTGCTCATCATTTAGAACAATTTTTAATTGGGTGCGGACAGTAATTTAGGATTGTTTTGGTTGTAATTTATTACGCCCTGAGATTGAAAAGTCGTGCTTATTTTTAACCAATCAGATGCAAAGCTAAAACTAGTCTAGACTTGTGAACTCATCTTGGAGGGTTCAGCAGCTTTTTGTGATATTCCACTTTTCACTGATTGGCCGTTGGGATTAACCTCGTTTTGATTTTACCACTCTCAATAGACCATTTTACAGTAATATACTTAGGTGCCAAGCCTTTGATTTGGAGTGAGGCTGAAGGTGACCTTGTTGACCGGTATCTAGTTAGCATAATAACAAAGTAATTTGCATTTGAAAAGCAGCAAGGTTAGTATCATAACAAGGTCAACCTTGGCCTCACTTCTGTCCAAAGGCTTGGCAACCAAGTACACGACTGTACAATGGACTATCGGAATGCACCCTTTAGAACCATTTGGTAGAGTGTGCTGTGATCCGTGACGAATCGATAGTGATCGATTAGGAATATCGAGGAGTTCTATTCTTGGGCTCTCTCGCAGCTCTCTCTTTACCGATTCTCGTTCGAACTGAAATTACAACAGTGTCTTACTGGATTTTAAACTATTTCACTCGCGTCTAACTAATCTTCGCACCGCACGTTATATAGGACTAGCATTTGTTCGTTGACTGTTTTCTTGTGTCTGAGTAGAATTAGGTCTCTGCTGTTGTTGTTGAACTGGCTGTAACTGTTGCCTTTCGTCTATTTGCCCCCGCACTGTTTGACGATTCAGTGCCGGTACAAAGCGAGGTCTGTTTTTCCCCAGAGGATCTGCTCTAACGGTTGATATCTATCAAGAAAAGAAAAATATGCTGAATAGCCTGTTCTATGTATTCAGCTAATTAAAATGAGCAAGACAGCAAACGGCGCTAAAGCAGCAGCTGAGCGAAATAACGAAGGAGATTTAATCACGCTATAATCAAATCTAGCGGTTCTCTAAACTGTCACTGGTTTGCAACGTTAAAGGAAATTTGCTTTCGGGGAGGCAAGTTTTTTCAGTGGGGAGAGGGACGATTTTCCTGAAAACGGGTGCAGGTGAGCGTACAGGGTGTCTAAGAAAGAAAACCGATAATCAAATAGGTTAGATTGCAGCCATCATCACCTTTGGAACAAACACAATACACAGTGTAATGGTGGTACAGAAAACAACCAACACGGAAAGAACCACGTAAAACACATTCGGGTTATAATCCACCACGTTGACAATTGTCATTCCAAGGGCGCACGGGAATACCACGTTGTACACTGAAATACCGATGTGTTTGGAGTCGTTCAACGCTGGGAAAGTGACATTCCTTGTCTCCCAGGCCATCAGGGCACCGAACGCCAACATAAGTCCTTTGTAGGCATAGATAACCCCAAGCCAGATTTTCGGGTGATTCGAGGTGCACTCAATGTAATAAGCCTTGTAGTTGGTGTCCGTGGATGAGCGGTATTCCTGAAATGTAGAAAGGTAAAGGTAAGGTCTGCTTACGATATAGCAGAATCATCTGACTGGATCTCTCCTCGTCTGTAACAAAAAGAAGTGACTAGGATTATTACTACTCCGCTCTGGATGGGCGGCGAGTCTTCCATTTTTTCAAGTTTCTAGTTTTACAGTATCCATTTAGACTCCTGGGTGGAGAGAGAGGCACTATAGAAATGAAGTGTCCCACCTAAGAACGCATCGCAATGATCCAGCTAGTGTCTCGAACCCGCACATTTCAATTTGGACCTTAGCGCGCCTACCACCCACACAGTTCTTGGAACACTGAGTTATAAAGGTAATTAATATCCTTGAGACAGCTGGAGAAGACTTCGACGATTGGTAAGTTTAAAGTCCAATCGCGGCAGAAGGTAAAGCGTTTACACCAAACTTTTTTTACGATATAAGTTATACTACAGTAGTTTCGTCAAAAGTCCTTTTGAAAGTGAAGTGACTTATAGGTACGTGAAAGATGCTAACTGTTTCCAAACCTCTCGTCCTGTGTAGTGTTTACTAGCGTACAAGGGATCAACAATCTCCCAAACCATAAGAATTAGGAGATCGATGGAAAGAAACAGACCCAGCACTGCGAACAATTGGAAGTCAGTTATGATCTGTTGGTAGTAAAAGAGACGCTCTTGATTACTTGATTGTTACGGTCAAAATATGCCGTGGTCATAAAATGTAGGTTTGTATTACAAATATGAAGACGGTTTGGCTTCAAAAGGTGACACAAGGGTGAATAACAACCCCCTCTGCGCAAATGGCAACAAAATGATTTCGCGCATTGCCTCACAACCATTTGTGCAAGCCGCTTGTTGAGAGTCACAGGAATTTTGAAGTTGTCTGTTGGATCTATTGAGGAAAAAAATGGAGGGGCCAAGGAAAAGGTAGATTTTGTAATTTCCTTTTGTAGGAATGTATCGAACTCTACCGTGCGCACGGCAAGTCTTTAGTCTCCTGGCAAGGTCAAGAAATTTCTCTACCTTTTTCCATTGTCTTTTTCGCAACCAAAATAAAAAAAAATCTCCTGAGGACACATCTATTGGGACAGACTACTTTCAGTCTAAACGCTTGAACCGGATGGTAACCACCTCGTTCGAAGACACTTACCATTTTCTTTGTTCTATTAAGAAAAATTTTGTGCACTCTCCAAGTCTTTAAGAACATGCCACCAAAACCGAGTGTGAATCCAAGACAAGCTACCCAGGTCGAAAGCTAAACGTAAACAGAAAGAAAAGGAAGAACTTTTTCATAGGCGTTTGAGGGAATGAGCTATCTCTTGCGCGATTTCTTTTGGTCCGGTAGTCTTCGTAAACCATTTACAGCAACAAGAAGGGAATCAGTGTATCTAAATCCTTTAAATACGCGTTTTTTTCCTAGACATGCTGACCTGTGATCTTTTGCATCGGTAAACAAATTGCCGCGAGTCTGGTGTAATTTATGAATCGTTAGCATCTTCCGAAAAATCCAGTGATTGATGAATTGTAGTCGTTAATTGTCTCCAGTGTTAGGTCTTCAAATTTCCTGGAACATGTTCGGGAACCTTGGGCCTCTACGTGGTTTTAATCATAACAACAAAATGTGGTTGAAGGTACTTACTCTGCATTGCAAAATTGCCTCAATGTCGATACTCGCGAAGTTGCCATCGATGCCCAACAGAATACCAGCGATGTAAATAAGAATGGCACCAACCACAATGACATTATTTAGACGTGGACTTGACATCTTGATAAATCTGAAATTCCAAATAAGGCTCTTATCAGCTTTGATTGAGTCTTAACGCACTTTTTTCAGCGATTGCTATTCCACCAGGTATTCTTTCATGTTTTATTGCATGTATTAGAGAAAAAACTAACAATATGTAAAAGCCAAGAAATCGTAGTTTTTGCGATGTTCGTGCCCGCTTAGTAAAGTCAATGACAAATTGTTCGGATGTTTTATGTAGTAAGATTAATGGTTTATCGTAAGTAAGGAAAACTTCTAAGGAAGGTAAGCTATTAAATGATTAAAATGCGGGGAAATATGGGTCTGCCTTATTTCAGCCCTTGCTTTAAATTAAAATCTTCCTCTTTTTTTTTCCAAAACTTCATCTTAACCTACTTTTATACATTCACTCCTTTTCCATCTATTGATATGTTTGTCAATTTGTCTGTCTGTTAATAGTCTTGTACCCAGACCTTTCACGACCAAGCGGTTATACATTTCAGTTACACGGTAGGGATCTGGGTTCGAGATAAGTTTTTAAAGTACAATCGTTCTTGGGTTGATTCCTGCCTCTTTTCTTCATTTATTCATGCGTTTGTTCACTAACCATTTCATATTTTCGATATTTTCGATATTTTCGTGTTCCTTGTGTCTCTTTTCTGTAGATTTATCGTATCGTCAAGTTCCTTGGGTAAATAGTTTTACAATAGCTCTGCGCCATATATACTAATAACATTGCCACATGCAGTTAACAGTTAATCTTGTACCCAGATCCAACCGTGTAACTGAGATGTAGGACAACCACTTGGCCGTGGAAGGTCTGGGTACAAGACTCATTAACAGTTTACGTTATATGCACGTGCGGACCTATTCAGTATACCTGTGACTACTGTAAGAAATGTTGAAGGCCAGGAAAGCCACAGCAATGATAATCCCTAAGACCTCAACCGCACAAAAAAATCCGAACGATCCGATCGAAATCGTCTGCAGCTTGTCCACTGTGGTCATTTGGTCAGCGGGAACACTACCACCTGTGATGAGTAAACGAAACAAAGTTCAAAAGGTCAGTTGCTTTTATACTAAACTAGATTCGTTGAAAAAAATCCACCCCTTAAAAGTCTCTTGCGTAAAGCAAACGCAAATTTATTTGTAGAAATAAGATGTACTTATTGACTGAGTGGTAGGGCCAGAAGGGAAAGTATTTGGGTTGAGATCATGACGTACGGACCGACTGCAGCGAGGTCTTTACTTCGCGACCGAGAGCCAAATATTTTCCCGTCCGGCCCGACCTAACTCAATTAATGAGCATTTTATCATATGACCACAGAGTGATGAAAATTTCAACCTAAATAGGACGAGATAGATGGGCACACGCAGCCACACGAGCACAAAAAAAAATTCTGAAATCAAAACTTTTCCTTTTTTTCGGAGTCAGAACGAGAAACTCCCAATTCATTGAAAGACGTGACTTTTTAGTCTCATTTCTGTTCTCCTTTGAATTTTTGCAACAAAGCAGCGTGAGTGCAGCAGGGTCAGACGCCCTTTTATCCGGACTGGCTCACGTCAACCCGTTCGGCCCTGCACATGTCAGCTTTTATTATGGTTTTCTACGAGATGCGCACGCGGGGCTGGACGGGTCATGTGATAATATTTGTTGATCTAGAATAGAGTTTCAACAATTTACAAACCAGCTACATTTACTTCTTACTCTCAACTTACCTTTCCAAACGAACTTTGACGACTCGATGACCAGCCTTTCGTCTGAAACCGTGTAGTTACCAAGTATTTTTATCTCTTGATCTAAATGTAAACAATAACAACAACAGCGAAATACAGAAACTATTCCATTGTCTACATCATTCATAGAAAAACGTTGCATTTTAAATGCAATTAACATTATTAAGCATAACAAAACTAAAAAAATTAATCCACGCTCACGATGCAGTAAGAACAGAAACAACAACAACAACAACAATAATGAAGCAATTTTCGCTGATTGATGGAAAACCAAATCCAAAGTTATCACAACTACCGATTAGATCAAAGGCTAACATCATCGTTAGCCAAGGAGAACTCATGGTAAAAACAGCCAGCCAGCTTGAAGCGCGGGAAAACGCGAGTGACCGAGTTGGAATTGGTTTTGGTTTTGCATTTGATTGGTTGAGCAAGCGGTGCGATTTTTCTAGACCAATCACAGAGCAGAGGTAAAGCAAAACCAAAGCAATCCAGAATCACTTGCGCTAGTCAATTGAAAACTGCTCTAGATGCATGATTGAAGATGGACTATTTTCAGCGTTATTCATATCTGAGTAATGATGCCAACCAAATTAACCCTTTAAAAGTGACCAAGACAGAATTTCTCCTTACAATATCAATACAATATCAACCAGATAAGTGATGAGAATAAAGAAAAGATCAATTTGGTGATGATTAGTTGATTCAATACTAAATTCTCTGAACTAACATTGTAAGAATAGTATGGTAAATGGTAAGAAGAACTACAAATTTGATCTGGGAGTTAAAGGGTTAAGTTCTTACCTTGCATTTGACCGACTGTTATAATTCCTTCCCTTTCTCCTTTATCGTTAAAGTATACTTGTCCCTACCAACAAAACACTCATTAGAACGCTTTCCGGTTGGTTGTTATAAAGTCAACACCTCGTCAATTATAACGTCCAATCAAAGGAAAGCCTAACATCTCAAGGAACCAATGAGATCTTAGAGTGACGCAAAGTAGGTTCTCTCACCGAAAATCCACGAAATGAGACATTGGATAAAGACTTCTTAAACACTCCTGCCATTTCCGAGTCACTGTAAGTAAAATCTGCCAAGCTTTTATTTTTCGCTGCGAGAACCTCGGCTGAACGGTTTAGAGCCAAAACCATAGCAACCAAGGCGTCGTGCGCAAAACCAGAATATAAACCAAGCTCGTCAAATTTATTTTTCCATGCATGGTACGCACCCTGAAATAAAAATTCAAATAATAGTTCTCAGAAAAAAAAATACTGCAAACAATTGTCCGCATTCGTTGGTAACCCATATCCTCAGAATTCGGTCATTCGCACCCTTTTTTCTTAAGCTCTTTTGACTGTCGTGTGATTCCTTCCTAGTCCTTACTCTATCTTAGATCAGTTTTTGTCCTACAATGGAAAGAAAGCCTGTTACTTGAAAGCCTTACTCAAAGGCCTAAGCCCCAAAGCCGCGAGATCTGTCTTGTCTTTTGATCAACATTGCACCATACCTCGCCTCCTATCATGCGTGGGGAACTGGGTCCAAATTTCAGAAACTCCGTTGTGACGTAATTACCAAAAGCCTTCATCACGTGCTTAGCCTCGCAATTTTGTTTGGACAGGACTGCTGGATGTGCGTTCCACCAACGCGACTGATACCATCCTATCAACATCCAGACATACCTCTCACCATAAAGCTCTTGCTTGTACGCCTGAGGCAATCGAGGTAGAAAGACAGACAGCAAAACATGGTTAATTCCTTTCTCGTGATGGAGAGCGGGAGACAAGTAAAACAGGTTAAACCACAGACCTCTGTGTTATGAGCCTGGTACATTGCCATGCTTATCAATAGATTCTCCAGTTCGAAACAAGAATTGCAGTTCTAAAATATGGGCCAGTTACCGAGAGGGGGGCCTTTCAAACAAGAATTGCAGCTCTAAAATATGGGGCCAGTTACCGACGGGGGGGGCATTGGGATCTATAAGAAACCGCAAAACCGTAGACAAAATCATTCAAAACCGCAAAAAAATTGGATCCAAACCGAAAACCGTATGCAAACCCGTCTAAAGCGATAAATTTCACATCCCAGTTATTCAAAACTCTAGTGGAGTGGAGCATAAAGAGGTTTCGCGGCTATTTAAAATCAGTGGTATAATTGCTGCTCAGATCGAAGAGCAACTAGAACCCAAATAGGAAAAACCGAAAATCACATCGGACACCAAATTCGTAAACCCGTTTTTTTTTTTTTTTTTTTACATATGCCGAACACCAAATGCTTTAAAACGGAAAATCCGCAAACCACAGTGACCACCCTACAAAACCTAAAAACCGCAGTTTTCTGGCACAAAGACCGAAAAAACCGATCTGAAAAATAGCCAAAACCACAAAACCGAAAATCCCATTCCCCCACAGTTACCTGACAGAAGACTTCGACAGCTTTTTCTTCAGAGAAAAGTCCAACAATAATTCGAGCATCTCTAGCCTGGGTAAAGAGCGAGAGAAAATGTGAAATCAGACAGGATAATATTCTTTGTATCTCGAGCGTGATCTTCTTGGTGGGTGTACTGCGTATGAAATACGGTGTGTACACAAAATATAGATATTTCGTTACTTACTTTACGCAACCGCGGGCTGCTTTTCACGCGGCAAGTGCATTCTAAAAAATTTAGAATCTAGTACTCAGAAAACCTCTACCTTGAATATTAATCGGATTTGCATATTTTCGCAAACCTGAACTATTAGGTTTGTACTTGCCACCTTCAGAGATAAAAAAATCGATTTTTCGGTAAAATTTCCGCACGGCCCCATACTATTGTAAAAGAAATCTGTTTTCCCAATGGCAATGTATTGTTTTTGTCACTATTTTCTCTGTCCAAGAACTGAATGCATAATGTAGTATGGGGCTGTGCGGAAATTTTACCGATTTTTCTTTTATATGACAAAACTGAATTCAAACACACTCAACCTAACGTTTCTATTAAAAAAAATCTGAAATATTGAAAAGCACCCAAGTTACTTAGAAAAACGTATTTCAAACGAAAGTTTAGAAATCAAGAAGGTGTCATAATCTCGGACCTAGGCGAATCCTCTAGGGGAATTTTCGCGGCATCTGCTCATGTTGAGGCTCGATTTTCATGTTATTGCCATATTTTGGTTACATCGCGAAATTTACAAAATTCACTCGTGGAAGTTGTTTGCCGTCCTTAGAAAAATCAAAAGCGGAAGAAAGTCCTTGTAAAAAAAAAAAAAAAAGAAAGAAAAAGCAGGCCCAAAGAAGAAAGAAAGAGTACCATTTTGTCAAGAAAAGAAAAAAAATCCTGTGTGAAAGTGACCGGTACAAGCTAGCGGAGCTCCACGCTGGCGTCCAGATTTCGAACAAAAAAAATCGCCGTCAAATCAAAATTTGCCATACATGATGTTAAAAACAAGGTTTCCTTTTCTTTATGCAAGCACCAGCCTTGATACAAAAACATTAACAATTGCCTTGAATTTTAATTTTGAAAGCTATACGACGATTCGTTGTCTTGCTCCTCAGCACGTTTTGCGGTTTTTCCATTTTTGGCGCGGGTTTTTCCTTTCCCTTTGAAACTTTGCTCATTATTGTGTCTTCCTCCTCAACGCTCCACTGAGCGATCGAGATGAGAAAAAAAAACATCTCTGCAGTGGGTTACTTATCCGCAAACCTGAATTATATGGTGTGTACGTTATTAACTTAAAACGAAAAAAGGTAGGAGGACCACGGATACCCCAGGGGTTTCCTAAACCTCGCCTGTGATATCTCTATTCAATGAGATCCAAGAACAAAGAGCAACTGAGTTTGGTTTTGTGTTTTTGTGGTCCCCTGCATTCAATTGTCTCTGGTGGGTTCCCGCTCCAACCCTTTGATACAGACACACCTTCAATAACTTGATTAGAGATTTGCGGTCTTCTTCCATTCCATCTCCAAGAAATTCTTGAGCCACTACTAACATATCGTTTTTCTCAAGCGGCTTTGTCAGACTTGCCAAAGCCTTTTAAACAGTAAAAAAAAAATTAAATGTTGTTATGGTAATGACACGTTACAACACATTAATTCATGGCAAACTCAGTACGTCACACCACCGAAAGGAAAACTATTTTTACTTACAGCTTCATAATAAGGCTCTCTCTCTGTTAATATAGCAATTCTCATCCATTTGAAATACTTAAGTACAGCCACGCGCCCAGAATTATGCCCCTTCTCTGGGGGAACCGTTCTGAAGAAAAGTGGGTACTTTTGCTTGTTAGACAAATAAATAGACGACGCCCCATAGCCGACCTGCAGGAGACGAACGTCATTAGTCTTCATCTACAGAGAAATCTTTGAACCATTTTGTACAGGGAACTACAGCTTGTAAATGTCGGCAGCCGCATATAAGAAAGTGTGGCCTGGTGCGCCATATGAGAGACACAGCAAACATGAACAAAGTGTCGAGGTATATGAGACAAATATAGCTAGAACACTCAACTTGTGCGCTTACCTCGGGTGCGCAGCGCATGAGCTCATCTCGGGTCATACACTGTGCTCTCCCCTCGCAAATAGATTGAGCACATGCGACCATTTCGCGCGCCAGTCTTTTTTCGAATGTTTTTTCGTTTTTTTTTTTTGCGCACACATCATGGCTAATAATTTCGCGGCCTAATCGCCCATAATCAACTCGTTCAGTTATTATCATCAAGCCAACTTCAATTACTGCCCATGGAAAAATGTTACTTGAGATTGACTGCTTTCGAACCCTCTTGATACAATTAAATCACCTGTATCAGGTTTAAAAGGTGAGAACATTCGGCAATTGGTCCAGTTGCAGCACTACACATTCCTCCAAGGAGCATTATCTTCGTAGGAGACTCGTTAACACTTTGAAACAGAGCCTGGACTCCATGACCCAGCTGACACTGAAAAGCGAACAAAATAAATGACAAGTGAAATATTGTCGAGGACGAATCACAGAAAAACTCGCTGAATTAAAAATTGTAATGCAACGAAGCTCAGAAGCAAACGAAGACTCTCTTCACAACTTGAAAGATAAATCTGAAAAAGCGTTTCCACTCTGAAAAAAAAAAACAAAACAAAAAAAAAAGTTTCCCCCCCCTACTGAAAAAAAACTAGTAAGACATTTTCAGCATCCTTGGGCATGCGCATTATCACAGGACACAAAGATGCAAAAAGCGGTGACGTCAGCGTTCATGAGAAGCCCGCTTTTCAAATAATTTCTAGTCGAAAACGCTAAGCCGGCGTTTTCAAATTTACCCCCTTTGAGAGCGATTTCGAAGGCTGTTTTAAAATTTTTCCTTTATCGCTAAGACGTGGGTCCGGCGTTATCGATTATCCACTTTAGGAGCGTTATTGGCCCAATCTTTAAAATTTAGTTCACGTCTTGTTTATTTAATTTAGGGCGAAGAAGACATCTTCGCCTTGAATAAGAAAAAACTCTGACGAGTCAACTTTTAGCGAATGTTGTGCGTTATCAGTTTAAAAATTAATCCTCAAGGGAAAAAATAAGGCCATGCAGGATAAAAACAATGATTATTGGACGAGTGTCGTTACTCCCATAACATTCCTTGGAAATCAAGAGCACCTTTAATTTACGAAAAATTTGCATCGGTGTCTGGAATGGTTAATGGCGGATTTCCTGCTATTTTCTCCTACTTATCTCTCTATCTCGCCGTCTTTCTGTTTTTCCTCCCTATTATCCGAGATTGATAATAACACGTGACGAACAACCTTCGCGGAAACTTTAGAAAATAATCGTTTGTGTTCTGTCGCAGCGCACTTTCAGTTTGTTGCCAGTATAACGGAACACTGTGTCTCTCAGTGGTATTCATAATGCATGCAATTTTCACAGAGCTCAAGTAAAGATTTTATACGGGCATATACAAAGGTGTGAACAAGAGAAGAACGAAGTCGACCAAACAGAAAATTAAACGAAATAAATGTGTATATGAAAACAGGTCATGTCGAGTGTGATTATAACAACAAAAATAAAGAGAGACTGCTGTTATGAAAAATCATCAAACTACCCCGGCTAATTAAGGTATAGAATTTAAGTGTGTCTCAATCGACTTTGAAGTCTACATAATCAAACACTATCGTTTTCGTCCTTATTACATGCCAATTTACGACTGTTGATTATGAAACCGTGTTCTATCATAACAGAATATCTGTTGCTATATATTTCTGTTAGCGAGAAGATTGAAATCGTTTTACAAGCTAGTTTAATTGGAATTGATATTATGAATACAGACATATTTTCTACAGACCTTGGTATCCCTCCATTCGATCTCCAATTTATAGCCGGGAAGAAGCTGCGAGCGCTCGTTTATGGTTCGAACTGCTTCATTTACGGTCTGGATGATTCCCGACGCGTTCTGAAAAGTGGTCATTTTTCCTGAAGCGTAGAACCCTCCAATGGTCAGAACTTGTCTGTGGTTACTTTCCAAACCTTGACTTGTTTTTATTGCGAACAAATACGGGAATAATTGAAAGTACAACCAGAAAGTCATCTTTGATCTTGGCAGGACTTCACGCCTTCGGATTCAATCCGCGCGCATAGTCCAAAGTAGTGAAATATAGTCTTCTCTCGATCAATCTGCGAAGAAAAGTACAGAAGCAACTGTATTACTGCTTGTAGTCTTCTTAGCAAGGGAACTGAATTTGAATAAGATCATGAGCGAGATATTCGAAGCGAGCAATTAACTGTTTGAATCCGAGTCCATAATCGGAAGGACAGGTGCAGTTTGATTTTTTCATTAACTGGCCACATACGCAGAATTCATCATGAAACACCGGTAATGAGGACTAATGAAACTTCTTCCTGAAAAGAGAGAGATAAATGCAACCAAAGATAGCATCGCAATCGAAGAATATTTAGAAAATTTTTCCGCATGACATTTGATAATGTAAAGTATGTCCGGAGACTCATAGAATAGAAACTGAAAACTCTAAAACGTTGCATTAATTTGTTAAAGTGTTTACTCAGACGGCTTGTTACTTGACGTTAATGAAGACTGCTATTCATGATAGCTTCTTTATTCAACAAAAGTCAAAACGTCATTGTGAGCCCAGTAGAAATATTTCATCATCTCTCTGCTGCTATCCTTTAATTTCTAGAAATAAAATGAAACTAATCAAAACATACCGCAAAAAGAATTGATGATATTAAAGAAGCGATTTAATCTCACTCGTTTGTTTTGCTGAGTCACTCCACGCATTTGACTTTTTAGAAGCATTAGTTATTAAGGCCACTTCTTGACGTATAATTTACACTTGTAAACTCGTTCATACGCACGCAAACAACTAGGGGAGATTTTTAACTTTAGAAATTTCCAAACGCGCGAGTTTGCCGTCTCTCTCTAGTTCTCTCTGCTACCTTCTTTTGTTATCGAGAACAAGTTTCTCGTTTTTAATGTTTTGCAGCTGCCTTAACGATCCTGAATAAATTGTACTTCTGGTCAGTAGTTGATCTCTTTTCACTGGACTCGCGTTCATGCAAAAACCTCGCTGACCTAGTTGCAAGGGCGCCTCTTCTAGATAGAAATCATTAGGCCGTTCATCAACACGAAGACTTACTGGAGCCGAAGTCTGAGACAGTCAATGGACCTCGATATATCTTTGTAAGTGGTTTGTTTGAAGGAAATAAATGTTTTTCCTATATGAGTTTCAAGCCTCTGTTAAACGCTTTGTAAAAGTCAACGTTTTTATGTGATAAAAGTCTGGCTAAATTGGCATATGGTCTAGAACAAGGCGGTTAACGGCGATAAGTTTATTTAAATAACATCTCTTTGCTTTTGTAGTATTATCGCCACTCAAAAGCAGAATGTGTTTTAGTAAAGAGTATCAAGTTAAGTTTTCTTCACCTAGCCAAACTTGAATGTATCTGTACTTGCGCGCACCACCATTCTTAGTTCATCAATGTTTCTTTTTCTTGTATTCATTTTGCATTCGTCGGTATCGCGCGAGGCAAAAACATTTTTCCGCGTTCTCTCAAGTTCGACTCGCGCATGGCCAATGATTCGCTTGCCGAGTAACTCTTTCTTTCTTGATTTCTTTACCCTCTTAACGCTACGTTCGCTTCGCGAATTCTTCTGATTATACATATTTTCTGCCTCGGTGGTTGTCATTGTAACAAATGGTCACAATTAAATGATCGGACCGCCCTTTCTGTAAGGGAAACGGGTTTCTTCTGACAAACGAAACTGGGTCAATTTTTTTCTGGAGCTGAATAGACGCGAAATAGAGCAAATTACGGGCGCGGGTCTGTGAAGAGAAAACCGTTTACTCAATTTAATGACATTTAATTTAGCCTGATAAAAGCAAAGCGCCCTCAATTCGTAGATTCGCAACAAGTTAGCACGGGTGCAGTGTTTGCATCTGTCGGATCTAGGAAAGCACACGGGAAGGAAGCACAAAAATAAAGATATTGCCGTTGTCAATGTCTTTGTTTCCGTGTTCAGTGCTTAACATTTGCCCCTCGCTTGTCTCCACTCGTCTGGCGGCCTGTGCTAGGCTCTCAATTAGAGGAAACGAGCAAAATGATGGACGCGAAACACGGTGGAGGTCATGAAAAGAAAAGGAACAGAAGTCGTTTGTCGTTTGCAAGCTCCTCAGCTCATTTTCTCTGACTAAAAGCCTCGAACACGCGTCTGAAAACCTCCTCCTCCTCCCCCAACCCCAAAAAGAAGTGACAACTGTTCCAACGTTGTTACCCAAGTGTCAAGGTAACCGGATAAAACACTTACCTTATCGTGCCGCCCGACAGAGAAACAAGAACCAGTACTTAACACGAATTCGAGCCAAGCACCGCAAGAAGTAGAAGTGTATTTAGGGCAATTCAAATGCGCATACAGAATCAAGGTGCGCCAGTACCGTAAATTCTCTTTGGGTCACAAACGGAAACTGTGTAATAAATGCAGTTATCGAAAAGACGTCGAGCCAGCTTTACCGCGAAAACTTACGCAACTTAGGTTTGTTTCTAATCCTTTAACCCCATGAATGATTAACATATAATTTCTCCTTGCAATTCCAATACTCTATCTCGTAGACACGTTATGAGAACAGGCAAGCTCATCAGCTAGAGGCTTTTATGTGCGAATAAGACCAAATTCTCCTATCCAATTTACGCAGAAAAGTGTAATAGTAAGCTGGGAGAATTAATCATTGGATCTTGCGAATTAAAGAATTAACCTGTCGGCAGCTGATAATATTTAGCATGATTCGGTGAGTATTGTCTCCTCATATTTCCTTCTTTTAAAATTCAATCAGACTTCAACCTCATTGTCACATGTCTGCAAATTGGATTGCGCCGAAACGTGTTAAATTTCCCCATCTCCTGGTGACAGCAATTAACATTTGTATTCACAGTTATTTTTGTTCTTTTCGCGGTAGTCGTATCTTGTCGAGAAAAAAGACTTCTTGCCTACTATAAACGTTAACCGTCTGTATGGAACAGTAGTCAAAATGGCGACCGAAAACAAGTTATCTTACGCGATGAAAGAAAAAAATTGTAAAATGCGAAACGACATTATTTTTCAGCCTAAACAAACATCTGGTTAAGTGAATCCTCCAAAGATCACTACAAAACCGGTCCGTTACTTGAAGTTGGTATAAATTTCCTTTGAGTTAACAAAAAAATTTAAGATCTGAAAATACATTTATCTTTTTCAACAACACGTGGTTAAGCGTAACCAAGAGAACACGTGTTTGATGAAACTATAGAAGGTGTGACTCTGATCCCAGTAAACTCTTTCGAAAGAAGTGATCCCAAACTGGACGTAGTACGAAGCATTTTGACCGAAGTACGCGAAAGCAACTTCGAGAATGTAGATATTCTTTCAGGGAAGATTCCTGGAATTTTTTCCAGTAGGCATAATACTCGTTTATAAAAACGGTGCCAGCAAGGGAGAATTTGGCGTCTCGTCCAAGAACAAGACACAATGACGCCGGCTAGGTATTTCAGATATCTCTAATCCACCCTGCTTACTCCGCTGAAACGCTGCGTCTCCGACCGTAATCTCTCCGAAAAAAGCTTGCTTTCTCAAAAAATTAACCATTAAAGTGTACCTTTGCAGATTTGCGTCGGTCGACAAAATTTCTGGTCTCTAATTATTCACCTGTGTAAGTAAATAATTATAGCACGACTGTTTAAAGGAAGTTGGTTTTAATCTTAGAAGACTATATAGTCTAACTGATCGACCGCTATGGCAGTTTTCAAAGCTGAAAAATCTCCACAATATACGTGGAAATAAGATACTGATGGGAAAAGAGAAACGAGCATTATTGCTACATGAAGAGCTTATCCGTCCTCGACGTATCACCGAAAGGTGAATTAATTCAACTTACAATCGATGCCGAGTAAATTTTCTTAATTTTTAAAAATTTTCCTTCATGCCGATTTCACCTTTAAAGTATGTATAACAATAATAGTAAAGCAAGAATAAAATTATCGAAATAAGACTGGTTCTAACCTTCAAAGACTCCTCCTATGTCAATTTTTACAAATAATTTTGTACTAGGTACCTAAATTTGTAAAACAACTTGGAATAATGCTGCACTTTATCAGCAGACGTTTTCTCAACTTTACAATTTTTGGGGGTATTGCAACTTCTCTTATCCTGCTGGGAAATTTTAATCTATGGACCATAGAATGATAAATAAAAGCAACTGAGAAAAACTTACCTGCTATGTCACTTTGCATAAAAATTACCAGAGGTCGAACCTGTGTTATCTGGTTCAGCTCCACTTTCGCGTTCGTCACAACAATGTTTTCACCTCCAAGCCAGCGAGGACAGGTTTGTCGACGGTGAATTGTTTTTTTCACCTCAGTTTTTGAATTGATTCCCAGATGCCAGCAGAAAATTGCAATACCTCAGTACGATACGAAAACAAATTAAACTGTGTGTGGTTTAGTGTGAACTCATCAATTATTCAACTTGTGTTTGTGTCAATTTCCCAAAAAAAAGACAATTCTTTTTCAGTTTAAAAATCATTTTTCGTTTGAATTTGCACACTTTGTTCAGTGATTTTATGATTTATTAGCACAAGGAAAGGACATATCTGAATTTTTTTAGTTTTAGGGGTAATCGTCACTTATTGTGATGATAAAGCTAAAGTTGAGATCGGCAGTGAAATTCAGTTAATAATAATGATAAAGAGACAAAATATAACGCATGAAACAGTCCTGCCTATTCTGAAGAACCAAATCATCAAAACCATTATCGTCTTAACGAAGAAAGTTCAGTATTAATGAAAGTAAATGAAGACTTGATTCTCAACAAAAGTTGATTTCAATGGACAATCTTCAGCAACTTTCAAATAATTCACATTTCATCATCAAAACATGACAGACTCAACCCATATCTGCCAAAGCTATTTCAACTGCGGGTCCTTGCCTGTCAAAACAAGAGTTTTGTCTTTCGTCTTTTTAATTTCCGTTCCAGCTTTTAAGCCTTGTAACTGGAGATGAATGCAGCTGCATAAATTATGATAATGTCTTCTGTCAATTGATTTGGAATACTTGGCAAGCGAGACATAATTGTCGATACGTTTTAGTTGTTCGAAACTGCCAAAATGCTAATCTAGAAGGTTCAGAGCTAGGTGGTTAACTAAGCAAAACGTTAATGCTGTCCCGTGTTATTTTCGCACATAAATATTGTCCAAAAATTCCCTTTTCTTCAGACTTGTCAACTAATAATAGCAGTGCTGAATTACAAACCCAAATGAGTTCAAAATTGTCGCTCCGCTTTATACCTTATATTAAAAGAAAATTACAAACTGGAAAATTAGTCGGTCATAACCACTTCCAGATGATACCTTATACCTGTAATACAACTAACATGTCAAATTATGTGAAATTTTGAAAGTTAGTGAAGAAAAGATGTAATTTTTTTACCCAAAACCGCTTCGAACATTTTCCAATAGTTTAAATAACCTTCAACCCGAGGAAAAGCTCATGGAAATAGTTAAAATCTACTCAATTTGAAAAATTGTATGAATGGTTTGGAAAAGTTCCACTAATTCTGATGGGAAATTTTTTGCCAAAAGATTAGGCGTATGAACTGAGTGGTCGACTTTTCTCGCACGTGTCACTCGAGTGTGTTACTGGTGTTTTCACGAAGGTGAAATCTCCCGCAAAAAACTTAGCGGGCCGAAGCCAGATAAGAAAAGAAATCTGACTGAAGACAGATTGGTCGAAATTAAGCCGTTAAGGGATAATATTTCCCCAAAGAGCGGCAAATGGATATCAGATAAAGCCTTCCCGAACAATGGTACAAAAGTAATAATAAACCGCCGATTAAAATTAAGCTAAATTGATAAATTTCCGGCATCTGGTATTCGATCACCTTTTTCTTTAAGATTTTGAACAAAGTTTCTATCTTATGGTCAAAAAGCTATTCATTTTTGGTCGACGTTCAAATTAATATAAATTTGGAAAATTATAATTACCGAATGTCGCGAATTGACAAATTACTCTAACCAGAGCGCATGTCATTTATTTCATAATTTTGCAATTTCAAATGTTTACATAGTCTGTGAACTTCCAGAGACATTAACGGCAGATTCATGTTTACTTAAATCCTTTCCGTTCAAGAAAATGAATAAAAAAGTAAACAGCCACGAAATAGTTTTTCCGATGAATAGTAGAGTTCTCTCAAAAAGGCGGAGTCAGTTCAAAATTTTATTCATCAATGAAGATAATCGATATTTCCCGCACGCCATAATCCAATCTTGTCGCCTGCATGTAGCAAGCCAAAAATAATGGTACTAGTACGAGTTATTCATCAGACAAAACCAACGCAATTATTTTTTTACTTATAAATTACCTGAAAACCACTAGCACTCTAACTAACTGAGTATAGTAGTAGCAGAGAAAACCACTACTACCTAACTGAGTATATCAGTCTATTTTCCTTCCGAGTTCCCCCTTGTTGTGGGAAAAAAATATTTTTTTGCGCATTTGAATCGCACAAATAGGTCGAAATGGTTACATATCAAACAAAAATACCAATTGTGTTCCTTTACCGATGAATTACCAAACAATAATGCACTTTTTACCTTAAGAGTAAGCGGATTCCTCGTCGAGGTAGCAAATTGTTATTCCCTCCCAGGTGAGTCACTGACGTTTTCTGCACTTCCAACGTGCTTAGGAGTCTATTAAACAAGAAACTAGTCGTGCTTAGGGTCACGTAACTCAAGAGTTAAGACTGACAACCTCACCTCCTTGTTTTATTTCTTTTTTCTTTCCATTTAGCTGAACAAACATTGTTCGGAAATAGAATTTGAGTGTTCACTTCCCGCTGTAAAACTTAGCGTGCTTTCTTTCCTCCAAATACATAAATGCTTCCAGATTCATCGATTATCTGGCGGACGGTTCAATCCAATTTACGAACCCTTGAACATCCCTTGAGAGACCAAAACATAATTTCTCCTTACAACATCAATATAATATGAAACAGACAAGTGACGAGAATAAAGAAGAAAATAAAGGAGGGAATTATCAGTGAATCCAACACCAAATTCTCCTAACTAACTTCATATGAATCGTATGGTAGACACCAGGGAGAATTTACAATGAGATCTTGGGAGTGAAAGGATTAATTGGTCCGCGCGAAGTGAATGAAGTAAAACTAAACGATTACCAGGCGGCTGTTTGCAAATTGACCAAAATACAATTTAACCAATTTTTGTCCAAAAAAAGAGCTAATAAAACGCTCTTGCTCCGTACGTTAACAAAGATTATTTATGCACCAAATAATCTAAAAACTGCACTAAACAAAACAAAATCCACTGCTTTCAATAATCAATTCGAATAAAATATTCCACGCCCTTAGCCCTTTAGAAGGCGGTGGGGGGGGGGGGGGGGGGGGTTGGGTTGGAAATTACGTCAAATGCTGCTAACGGGTAGATTCTATTACCTTGCGACTTGGACCGAGGGTCTGTCTTGTTATGAAGTTGTAAATAGTGTCGGTGGAAGTGAGTGGTGTACGATCCGCGCTTTAAAACGCATCCTACTGAACTACCCCATCTGATGCGGCCGAAGTGGTTGCATTCGATCGGTATACCACAATCTATAACTTAGTCTTTTATTCCCCGAACAACGCAACCAAATGAAGAAATTTTACCTCGAACAGGATAACTATGTGGCTCTCACAAAACTTTCCTTGATTTTTAAAACCCCAAATGAGTGGCTAGCATCTACTTTTTCCTTATATTTTAAACACTGAATTTAACTTCCAGCCCAAGAGGTCTAAGGAAATGATCGCCAACTTCAGAAGTTCTTGATTGCTAAACAAATTCTCCTTTTCAATACCATGGGAAGTCAACACAGAACAGTGTGGAAAATATGCATTCTGCTGTCAGGAAAATT